GGACTTTTAATATTAATGAGCCATAAAGGAAATATCATATAACTTCACTTATGAGTATTTTAAGTGTTTTTGCTACACATTTGAGTAAATAAAATAAAATAAAACTGGAAAAGATTGGGTTTGTTTACAAAATAACAAATTTCCATATAAAAAAACAATGCATACTTATTCTTCTTCTCTTTTGAAGATTTGAATACTTATTCTTCCTTGGTAGGTCTCGGACTTGTTTGCCTTGCGAGAGAATCAAAGCTCGAAGTCTTTAACCTAAGAAGACCTCTCGAGCAAACAAAAGTAGGAAAAAACTTCTCTGTCTCTCTCAATTTTGTTTGGTAGGTGGATCTCTCTTTCTCTCTCTCTCTCTCAATTTTGTTTGGTAGGTGGATGCTCAGGACATTTGAGAATGTTGCTGCAAAAACACACACAGGCACACTTTCACCATCACTGACACAATCTCACCAAACCAAATGAAAAGGGAAAATAAATCCAAAATACGGGCTTTTACGCTGTGTAGCTTAAGTTTAGAAAGCATGTCGTGATTCATATGACCATAAGTTTTTATAGTCCAAAGATGGTCTGCTCCTCCATCCACTCTCTCGGGTAAAACCATGCGTTAAGACTCCAAATATAGGGCACTTTTCACCCAAGTTAGCAGCTATTTGGTATGAAAATATTTTCTTACTGAACCACATGAGAGAATTTTTTCATCTCTTACATTAACCAGACGTGTTGGAATCCAACTTGGCAACTGATATACAACAGTGTTATTAGGATTGCATTGGCCATTCAGTTGGTGAGAAGTTTGACCCAATTAGAACTAGTCCGACCACCTGTTCGAGTGGATTTCAAAATACAGAGAAAAAAAAATGTATAAATAATAGTTTGAAAAAATGAAATATTTTTTTTAAAAGGTTAACACAATTTTATTTGATTGGTTGGACCAATTGATATCAGATGGTCAGGGCGGCCAAACTCGTCAAACACATTTTGATCAATTTTTTTTTTCTTCAAACTATATTTTTAAGGGATTGTATACAATGAGACGATTTATCTTTTATACAAGTGGTCACAATTGTGCACAACCATCCAATGTGAAATCTGAAATTTTTTTTTTAAGTTCGAGCTTGGTCAATGGAATAAATACATCGATCTAATTTTACATCCGATGGTCAAGATTAATTGTGATCTCATCAAAGATAAATAATCTCATTGTATACTTTTCCTATTTTTAATTGGATTGGACAAACCAAAGCATCGGTTTGGCAGTCTGACCAGTTGGACTGCTGGTCCAGCTCGGTCTTGACAATTATGGCATAACAATAAAACCAATTACTTTTGGTTCGATCTCCTCAGCCAAACAATTAACCAGTAAAAAAAAAAAAGAGTATGTAATACCACCATTTACTTTTGGTGCAAAAGAGTTAAAATCACCCATTGTCATCAGGATGTGAAATTCGACGGCCATTAAGTGTGTTCAAAGTTCAAACATTCAAAAAAAAATTCCCAATCATTATGCCAATAAATAACGCAATCCCCGCAACTAAGCTTTACATTTGACTCAGGGATGATTAGGACTTTTTATACCTAAGGCCCATTTTCTGGATGGTCGGTCCAATCTAAGCATTGAGCAACTCAAATCTTTTTTTTTTCTTGAAGATACTCATCCATTGATTCTCGATATAAAATTTTAGAGTATGCTTATCGGACCAAACTGCCCAGTCCAACTGCCAATCGGTGTCTTCTCCAGCCCAATCCAAAATAAAAGCCCAATCCAAAATAAAAACCATATTTGATCGAAAGTTAATCAAATCAACCAAATTTACTCAAATCCATTGGCTGGTTTAACTAATCATATCACCTACTTTTAACCAATCGACCCAGTCAAAACTCCATTAGAAAAGGTTGTTTTGATGTTGAAAAACTCTCTAATTGACCATCTCGATATCGAAATGTATGAATATGAAAAAAAAAGGAGATTTTGAGTCCCATAAATAATGCATATTGCAACACATTATCTAGACCATCCATTTTTCAAGATTTTTATATATTTCTAGTTCTACTTGATTTTAATCATTCTTAGAGTTTAAAATTTTATAATTAAATATAAAAATAGGTTTTCAGATAATCTTAAAATTCCTTTACACTGAAATCGCATGTTATGATAAAATTTGGAGGTGCGCCTCAATTGGATTGTTTAAAGTTGCAACCTTGTAGAAATGGCACCCTTGTTCCTTTTTTGTTATACTTTATGTCTTAAGCCACTATTCTTAGTTTTTATTTATTTTTGAAAATTCTATCTAATCGGTTTAATGAAATCGATATTTTTTTAGACTAAACCCGTCACAGATCCGGAGGACCAGATACTACTCATAGTTATTTTACCCGAGAAAGCAAATGTACGAAGTGCTCTTGTAGGATCACAAACAGCAAGAGTCTAGACTACCACTTCAAATTTTCACTTTGCTCCCAATTTCAAAGATGATTCCGGGAAAACTACGAAGGAAGTTATCAAATACACCCTTTATCACCGTCCAAATGAACACCATGATGAAAATCATGCACGTATAAGTTATGTGGTTATGGGATCACAGCACACCACTGCAAGCCTCGGTGGTGCATTACATGCCTCATTCTAGGAAGTTGTGAATAGGCAACAAAATTTAGGAATTCGGACTACCCAATCGGTGTTAATAGGGAGCTGACGGACCACCTGGCCTCTCTATTGCCGATGAGAGAGAAAGGTGGAGAGAGAGAGAAAGAGGCATCCATCTTTTCAAATTTTTGATTCAGACGCAACGGACAAAAACGTTCAAAGCCTGGCAGGCATATGGCTCTCTCTCTCTCTAACTCTCTCTCCTCTTCACATGGCATCTCCCTCTGAAGTGCGTCGAATGCGGTAAGCATGTGATAGAGAGAGAAGTGGTGGAGTCTGATACCTCTTCTTCCAACATTGCATAGCATTAATTGAATATGGAATAACTATAACACAGCAACAGGACAGCAACAAGACGCCATTAAAGGTGTACCAGTAAAGCAGTACAAAAACAGCACAGAAACATGAAACCCAACATGTGAATCACATAACAGCAACATCTAGCTTCATGATCAATCACTTCCAATCAAATTCAACACCCCTTTTTTGCCCTTTCTTGTTTGGTCGGTGAAAAAGGAGTGCTCAGTCTGATTAAATACATTCAAAGGAAGGAAAAAAGTTAGAGAGAGAGAGAGAGGTGTTCTAGAGAGAGAGAGAGAGAG